CGTAAAAAAAAAAAAAAAAAAAATATATATATATATATATCGTGGTCAAAAGTTACATATATAAATCCCCTATATATTATATCCTTGATAAAGCGGCCATTCTGGAAGGCATATATCGCTTTTTGGAAATAAAAGAAAAGGAAAATTTCCTGTTATATATTTATAATAGTTTTTTAACAGCACAACTTTTTCATGGTTCATAAGTACATACACCTACTCGTTCAGGGCTTAGTACTTCATTGCATTTCATTGACCTTGATAACTTCAGCAAGTCACTTTGGATATCCTTCATCAGCTTCTCACAGTAATCCCTGGAATCTTGGGCATTCCTCCTGGCAGATTTCGTAAGTTTGTGCTACGTTTGTTGGTCTCCTCTTACGGACTTGTTTCTTCAGTTCAACACATTCTCGATGGGATTGAGGTCCGGACTCTGTGAAGGCACTCAAACACATTCACCTTGTTTGTCTGGAACCATTTTGATACTATTTTGGCTGTGTGTTTCGGTCGTTGTCCTGTTGAAACATCCAATTTCGACCAAGCTTCAACATTTGACAGACTTTTGAGGTTTCTTTGCAATATTCTATGTAATCCTCTTTCCTCATGATTCCATTGATCTTCTGGAGTTCTCTAGTTCCGACACTGCAAAGCAACCCCACAACATGAGACTTCCTCCACATGCTTCACAGTTGGAACTGTATTGTTGGGGTGGAAGGCTTCATTTCGCCGGAAAACGTACTGTTGGTCATTATGACACAGTTCAATTTTCGTCTCGTCTGACCACAGCACATTCTTCCAGAAGTTATCCTTGTTCAGGTGCTGTTTGGCAAACTTCAGTCGTGCTTTTGTGCCTCTCTTAAAGTAATGGCTTCTTTCTGGCCCGACACCCTCTCAGCCCATGTCGATGGAGAACTCTCTTGACCGTGGATACTGATAGATCTGTTCCAGAGGCAGCCAATTCATTGCAGATGACTTTCTTGGTCGTCTTAGGTTCACACTGACCAAAAGCATCATCTCTGGGTGTTAGTCCTTCCTTCCACATTACAGCTGTACTCCACGGTGCTTAAATTTTTGGACAATCCAGATGCTCTAGGGACATGAAGCCACCTGGAGATGGTTCTAGGGATGAGCCTACCTTGACAACTACGGGCCTTAATGTCCTGAGTGTACTTCCCCATATCAAGTCAATGCAGTGCGTGTGAAGTTAAGCTGTTTATACCCCAAATGTATAAACCTGTTAAATATGCAATATGACTGAACACTGGACTAAATGGACATTGCATGGTTGATTGCACAAGCTGCCTTCAACCAGTGTATGTTTATTGGGCAAAGCATGTGGGTGTATGTAACTTATGAACACTAAGAAGTTGTGTTGTTAAAAGACTATTAAATAAATAAATGATTAACAGGAAGTTATGCCTTTTCTTTTATTTCAAAATGCGATTACCTGTGCATTCCAGAATGGCCGCTTATTCAAGGATGAAGCAACTTGACAGTCATTTTTATATATAATATATATATATATATATATATATATATATATATATATATATATATATATATATATATATATATATATATATTAAATACATATACATTTAAAACATTCATTTTATGTTTTAATCATTTTGATGGAACACAATAAAGTCACAAATGAATAATGATTTTGCAAAAACTATTTAAGTGCCTGAACAATCCAAAATGTGTTGAACATATATGTCCACATGTGGACCCCAGGTTACCAGTATCCATGTGAGAGTGAGCCCGCTGCAGGAGGTAAATGCCCCAGTACAGACTACAGTCCTCCCTACAAATCTCCAATACTGCATTTACATGACCACTCACAAAACCAGGACATGCAAAAAACATGATCAGAAGCAGGATACAGAGCACATGTATATGTACTCAGTGACTCATAACACATTAGGAAGTGGTTTGCTAAATGTTCCTTCTTTACATTTTTTAAATGTAAAATAAACCTTAAAACTTACCTCTTATTGTGGTGTCCATGACCCTAAGTAGGGCATGACATGATTTGGTCCTTTGATCCAGGTTAAATCCAGTTAGACCTGGTTTGAGCCTGTTCCAGTCCCAGTTCAGAGCTGTGTTAGTCTCAGTCTAGTCCAGTTTTGAAGAGTTGTGTGTACACAGAAACACAGCCTGCACTTTATCATGTCAAATCTTGCTAAACCCGTTCCAAGTCAAAATGCTTCAGTAAATCATAGGAGTAAGTCAAGTCATATTTCAAAAACATTTAATTCAAGACCTACATTTCCACTGCAATAAAACACAAAAACATGTCTTCTCAGAACCACACATTGTTCACATGGTTTGATAAAAAAAACTGTATCAAACAGGCTGAATACAAAAAGAGAAAAGAGCCCAAAATCAAAGTGAAAGTTTGAACCGAGGAGCAAAAACCACAGTCTGCTGGAACTGAGGAAGAGCAAAGGAGTTAAATGCCGCAGTGTGGGACATTCCAGTAGTGTTTTCACAATACCAAAATGCCAAAGTTGATTTAGTGACAAAAGGAAGTTTTGATACAACAATAATACATTTTTTTAGACAACTGATACTTTGCAGCTGATGTCATCAACATTCCTGGGGCGTGTAAAGCTAACTGTAGGCACTGCTCTATCTGCAGTTCTGTTACTCAAGTTAAACTTTCTGAAAGGGGTGATTTCACTCTGGAGTAGAAGTCGCACCAGCCAAAAAAAGCATAATGAAGAAGAAAAAAACATAAGTCTCACTTTTTGGGGGAAATTTATTTTTAAAAATCCGAGACCAGGAACCAACATTTCATCTTGAAAGTCAAGTTGTAGTAACAACAATAGAAGAGAGAACAACAGACTGTTAACGTCACATATGAACAGTTCTTCAGATAAACTATAACATAAACAACAGAACAGAACAAGTTTATCAAACTCTCCATCTCACTCCAAATCACTAAATCCATTCAATTCTTCATCCTCGGTGTCACTTCTGAACAACTCGACCTCGACCTCTGGAGGTAAACAGAGCGCCGCTTCCTCTTCTGTGTCGCTGTCGTCAGACTCAGCATCAGTTCCAGTTAGAATTATTCGGGTCTTTCTGAATCTCGACAGGATAGTTTCAGTGTCACTGAAGTCCAGACTTTGTCCATCATCCAGTGACTTCAGGAAAGTTTCATGGAGCATCCTCCTGATGTCACAAGTTTCTCTCTCACTCCAAACTTTCTTTCTGCTGCTCGATTTGTGTTTTCAGCTGCAGATTTCATTACTTGCAGTTTTGGAGGCATTTGTGTTCAGTCTTCTCAGTCTGTCTTTATAAGTTTGTTTAAATGTTAATTGTTCAGTGGTGCAGAAGTAATGGTGCGATCGACTGACATGATACAGACAGAACAGAGGCTCTTTCTGCAGGAGACATGTGCAGTAGAGTGAAGTGACAGTGGGACAGGAGGAACAGGAGCAGCAGATACTCACACACAAGACTAGAACCTCTCACCACTTCACTCTCAACATTTTAATATATAAGTCGCAGGAAACACCCAAACCATGAAAAAAAGTGACACTGAAAAATACAGTAACTGGAAGTAAAACAGATGAGGTGATTTGTGCTGTAAAAAAGTCTGAGAGGTTTGTGCATGTTTGAGTAATTTTTATTCTCCTGTAAGTCCCATTTTCACCTCCACTGGTACACGCCCACTGTGACATACTTACTTCATTCTCCAGTTTTATTTTTCGCAATTGGTGATACATGTAGGATTCAGCAGCGACGCACAGATTTACACAAATTTACAAAATCAAATGCTTGTTAGTGTGATCTGCAGCTACTCATAGGAATCATTAAGGAGGCAATAAAATACAGAAACATGCCCAACAGATTTTAAAGGGATAGTTTGTATTTTTTGACATGAATCTGTGTGTCATCCCCGTGAGCAGTGTCGTGCATCAACACTGACTTACCCCCGACAGCGTCCGGTGAGCCCAGATACTGGTCGTTTTTCGGTGCTGACAAAAGTAGTCCAGCAAGTTGGCTGGGGACATTAAAATAAAGTGTTTTTCTTCTCAAAACAATCTGTGTTCAAAAGAGTGATACATTTGCATCACAAAACCATCGTCGCCTAAAAAGTCAGACCTCATTATCGCTTGGCACTATTTTCTTCCGTTTGTATCACTGCACGCTGCCGCCAGGTGACAGCCGCGCATGGATCCATCACTTTCTGCAGTTGTTCGGCAGTGTTTACATGCGCAGACTGCCGCCACACGAGAGAGCTAACGAGAGAGCTAGAGCCAGAAGTATATAAACTTGTATAAGATACATAAGAATACATCTAAAAAATGGTGCGAACTCTTGATTCTCCAGGCTGTAACAACAAAAATCTGGCTGAATCTCCACACACATTTCACTGTTTTCCTGTCACGGACTTTGTGCTGAGGCAACTTTGTTTCTTGCCTTAGTCACCCCAGGTAAGAACGAAGAGGTGCCGCTGTGTTTACAAGAGAACAGACTCAAGAATCATCTGTAACTCTGTGTGCAGTAAATCACTCAGTGTCATATCACCAGTGAAACTTCTACAAAATGTAACTTTATAAGTCGACAGTTATTACTATTGTAAATGTCTCGTACACTGTTGGCAGCAGCTACGTGGACGTGTGGATGAATCATGTTTCTATTAGTCGTCCATGCTTCAGTCACAGTGGAGGCTCTATGTTCGTATAAATGATGTGATGGTGATTGTCGCTCACTCTGTCTCTCACGGCTCCAGCTGTGGCTCCAGTTTCAACTTGTACCACTTCTCTGTCTCTCTTCTCCCTCTGCTCATTTCTAACTCCATCTGGTGAATTTCAGCATCAGTATATTCGGGTTCATAAAGATCTCCCCTTGGCTTTGTGCTAAAGGACTGTCTTGTTCGTCAGTGTTTTAATCAGACATGTTGTCGCTAACATTCCAAGCGATTATGAGGTCTGACTTTTTAGAGGACGATGGTTTTGTGATGCAAATGTGTCTCTTTTGAACACAGATTGTTTTGAGAATAAAAATGCTTTATTTTAATGTCCCCAGCCAACTTGCCGGACTACTTTCGTCAGCACCAAAAACGGCCAGTATCTCAGTTCACCGGACGCTGTCGGGGTTAAGTCAGTGTTGATCCACGGCACTGCTCACGGGAATGACAGACAGATTCATGTCAAAAAATCCGAAATATCCCTTTAAACCATGACAAGAGGAAGAAATATTATAACATAGATCAGAAAATCGAAAAATATGAGCCTTTAACATCAATATTATGATTTCAAATGTCCAAAATCTCAAACAGTGATCCACAGAGGTCACAGGTGTTAACGACAGAAGCACAGTTTGAGCACAGTGTCAGTGTTTCTCTTCAGGGACGATGTTTAAGATGATTTTGCCCATGTTCTTGTTGGCCTCCATGTGTGAATGTGCCTCAGCCACTCGCTCCAGACTGAACTCCGAGTCAATCACCGGCCTCAGGGGCCCCGGGGCCGAGAAGTGAGGGAGCACCAGAGAAGAGAAGGAGCGGATCAGGGACGACTTGTACTGAGGAGAGAAAGAAGAAGGAGGGAGAAACAGGGAGGAGAGGAATAGAGAAGCAGGAGGGGAGACACAGAGAGAGAGAGAGAGAGAGAAGGAGCGAGGGAGAGGAGGTGAGAAGAAGGGAGAGAAGGTAGGAGAGGGATAGAGGAGGAGAGAGAGAGAAGGAGGGAGAGAAAGGGAGAAAGAAGGAGGGTGAGAAAGAAAGACAGGAGAGGAATAAATATGGAGAGGAGGAAGGATGGGAGTGAGGGAGGGAGGGAGAGAGAGAGTTAGAGAATAATGGAGGGAGAGAGAGGAGAGAGAGAAAAGAAGCGAAGGAGAGGGGGTGAGAGAAAGAGAGAGAAGGTAGGAGAGGGATAGAGGAGGAGAGAGAGAGGGAGGGGAGGGGAGTCGAGGTGAGAGAGGGAGAGAGTGGGGTAAGAAGGAGGGAGGGAGAGGGTTAGAGAGAAGGAGGGATAGGAACAAGAGAGAGGAGACAAAGAGAAGGAGGGTGAGAAAGAAAGATGGGAGAGGAATAAATAGGGGGAGGAGGAGGGAAGGGAGAGAGAGTTAGAGAATGATGGAGAGGGGGAGAGAGAGGAATAGAGAAGCAGGGAGGGAGAGGGGAGAAACAGAGAGAGAGAGAGTTAGATAGAGACAGAGGGAGAGAGAGAGAAGGAGGGAGGGAGAGGGGATGGAGAAAGAGAGAAGGAAGAGGAGTTGAGGTGAGAGAGAAGGGGGATGAGAGAGAGAGAGAGAGAGAGAGAGAGAGGAGAGAGAGAGGAGGAGAAGGAGGGATAGGGACAAGAGCGAGGAGAGAGAGGGAGAGAGAAGGAGGGTGAGAAAGAAAGAGGGAAGAGGAATAGAGAGGGAGGAAAGGAAGGACAGAAGGGAGGGAGAGAGAAAGCGAGGGGAAGAGAGAGAGGAGGGAAGAAGAAGGAGAGGTAGGGAGAGGGGGGAGAGACAGAGAGAAAGCAGGAGAAACACAGAGAGGAGAGAAAGGAAGGGAGAAAGAGAGGGAGAAATAGAGAGAGATAGGGAGAGGGGGGAGAGAAAGGAAGGGAGAAAGAGAGGGAGGGGTGAGAGAGTGAGAGAGAGGGAGAGAGGGGGGATGAGAGGAAGGGAGGGAGAGAGGGAGACAGAGAGGGAGAAGGAGGGATAGGGACAAGTGAGAGGAGAGGAGAAAGAGGGAGAGAGAAGGAGGGTGAGAAAGAAAGAGGGGAGAAGAATAGATAGGGAGGCGAGGTGGGAAGGGAGGGATGGTGGGAGAAAGAGTAAGGAGGAGAGAGCAGGAGGGAAGAAGAAGAGAGGTAGGGACAGGGAGGAGAGATGGGGAGAGAGAAAGAGGGGGGACACAGAGAAGAGCAAAAGGGAGGAAGAGAGAGGGAGAGGGGTTGTGAGAGAGGAGCAAGAGAGAGAAAATGAGAAGGAGGGAGAGAGAAGGAGCAAGAGAAAGAAATAGGAGAGAGGGATAGATAGGGAGGGGAGGAGGAGAGAAGGGGAGAGAAAGAGAGTGGGGGAAGAGAGAATAGGAAGGAAGAAGGAGAGAGCAACAGAGAGAGGAAGAGAGAGGTAGGGAGGGGGAGAGAGAGAGAGAGAAGAGAGAGGAGAGAAAGAGGGAGAGTCAGGGAGGGAGATGGAGGGAGAAAATAGGGAAGAGAGAGATCAGTGACAATGTTCAGATAATATATCAGTCCATCACAAAAATCTCCAAACATCCTCCACTAGAAATGACACAATGACTAGAACTAGAAGATTTGAACAGATAAACTAATGTTTGTTGTGTGAGAAATAGAGGCACCACTGTTCTAGTTGTGTTGTATTTTGAGTGATAATCAAACAGAATCCTGGTGTTACCTGCAGACTCCTGGAGCGCAGCAGGCTGCACAGGAGCTGGCCTCGTTTGGACAGAAGTCTCTTCAGTAAATCTCCATTGACAGTGCTGCCCCCTAGTGTCCCGTACAGCACCCAGCGCCCATCCACCGCCACACACGAGACATTCTGCTCCCAACTGGAGCCTCCGATACAGTCCAGGATCACGTCTGCTCCTCTGCCTGAGGAAGACACCGATACACTTTAAAGCTGCACTACGCAACTTTTCTTTGTCTCTATGGAGAGCCCGGGAGGAAGTAGAAGTTTTTTTTTATTTGTTTTTTAATCAATAATCAAACAATGCAGGTTTTAAAAAACATTTGAGCACTTAACAAAAAATTAATAAAGCTGAAAGCCACAGAATGACAGTTAAGGCGCCACAGGGTCAGAAGTAGAGCAGCTGTGTCTTTACAGATCCAGAACCTCAGAGACTCAGGGACGACTCTGCTTTGAGGAAACATTAAATAAGGGTTTGTGTGACCAAAATTACATTTGTGCATGATAGAAATGGCCATAATAAAAATAATATTATTCAGTGTAATGTCTTTTGATTTATCATCAATAACAACTCCAAATGTTACATCAGTATAATTGAAGAAAAAAGATTTTTGTTAGTCTGGTGCGTAAATGAAACCTGAACCTGTGAAAATGTCACCTGCAGATTTTCATGGAAATAGAAAGTTAAAACCCTTCTGCATGGAGATAGATACATTTATGCCACACTGTGGAATATTATACTTTATTACAAACAACAACAACATTTCCATGGAAACAAGCAGGAGCAGGCCTCTCCAGGACAAATGAAAAAGACTTTTATTTAAGTTTTGGGGGGATAAAAAGTGACATACTGTGGCTTTAACCAATAAAAACACATGTGACACGTGAAAACATTGGTTCAGTTAGAAACAATATGACACAATTATTTTATTTATGTGTAATATAAATGTTTAATGTTCATCATATGTGGATGTAGAAGGTTTTTATGAACTATAAAATCACCTCTAATGAACAAACCCTGAATAGACTTTTAATGCCACACTGTGGAACATGCCAAGCAAAGCAAAACATCTCATTAAAGACAGAAAAAAATCGTGCCTTAAATGTTTTTTATTCCTTATACTGTACCATCCATCACACCAGGACAGAATCAGAAACCATGAAAACCTGCCCTGTGCACTTTAAAGCTGCATTGTGTAACTTTTCTGGTGGAGGGTCCCTCAAATGCTTTTCTCTGTGCAGATGTTGGTGCTTTGTCTGGAATGTCTCACAGTATGGCTTTAAACCTTTCTATCTCCATGGAGACCAAACCAGACCAGGTTACAGGTCAGATCTGTGGAGAGGCGACCTCGCTCACAGTCACAATGTCTGTTTTTTTAGGTCTTTTTAACCACCTGTAATTGAATAAATGTAAAGTCGAGCTGTTTAATGTCACACTGTGGAACATTCCAGGCAGAGCGATGACATCTCCATAGAAACAAGCAGGTGATGGAGCCTCTGCCAGAAAAGCGACACGGTGCAGTTTTAAGCGGTGTTGTGGTGTACCTGCGGTGAAGTGGTGCACCTCCTTCACGTAGTCGTCTTCTCTGTAGTTGAATCCTTGAGCTGCTCCCAGTGATTTGGCCAGTGTCAGTTTTTCCTGCGTTCCTGCCGTCACTAAAGGCACCGCTTTAAACAGACGCACCAGCTGCACCGCCGCACAACCAACTCCACTCGCCCCGGCGTGCACCAGAACCACCTCCCCCTCCTGAACACGAGCTGAGGGGCAGAGGGGGAGGAGAGGAGGAGGGGACAGGGGGAGAGGGGGATAGAGAGGAGGAAAGGGGAAGGAGAGGGGGGGTGGTGGAGAGGAGGGGAGGAGGAGGAGGAAGGAGAGAAGGAGAAAAGGGAGAAGGAGAGAGGAGGAAGGAGGGAGGGGAGGAGAGTGGGGAAGAGGAGAAAAGAGGAGGATTGAGGAGAGGAGAAATAGAGGGAAGAAGAGGAGGGAGAGGAAAAGGAGAGAGAGGGGAGGAGAAGAGGAGAGGAGAAGGAGAGAGGAGGAAGGAGAGGAGGGAGGAGAAGAGGAGAAGAAATAGAGGGAAGAGGGAAAAGGAAGAGGGAGAGGAGAGTGGGGGAGAGGAGGAGGAAAGAAGAGGAAGGAGAGGAGAAATAGAGGGAAGATGAGGAGGGAGAGGAGAAGGAGAGAGGGGGAGGAGAAGAGAAGAGGAGAGGAGAGGAGAAGGAGAGAGGAGGAAGGAAGAGGAGGGAGGAGAAGAGGAGAGGAGGAGAAATAGAGGGAAGAGGAAGAGGGAAAAGGAAGAAGGAGAGGAGAGTGGGGGAGAGGAGGAGAAAAGGGAGGAGGAAAGAAGAGGAAGGAGAGGAGAAATAGAGGGAAGAGGGAAAAGGAAGAGGGAGAGGAGAGTGGGGGAGAGGAGGAGAAAAGGGAGGAGGAAAGAAGAGGAAGGAGAGGAGAAATAGAGAGAAGAGGAGGAGGGAGAGGAGAGTGGGGGGGGGAGAAAAAAGAGGAGGAGAGCAGAGGAGGGAGAGGGGGGATGGAGAAGATGAGGAGAAGAGAAATAGAGGGAAGAGGAGGAGGAGAGCGGAGGATGAGGGAGAGAAGGAGGAGAGTGGGGGAGAGGAGGAGGGAGAGAAGGAGAAGAGTTGGAGGAGGAGGAAAAAGGGGAGAGGAGGAGGAGGAGGAAGAGGAGAGGAGGAAAAGGGCCAGGAGAAAGGCAAAGACGGGGAGCAGGAAGGGAGGAAAAGGAGGAAAGAGAGGAGGAGAGGAGGACGAGTAAGAGGAGAACAGAGGAGAAAAAAGAAGGAGATGAGGGGAGAGAAGAGGAGAGGAGGAGGAAGGAGGAGGAAGAGAAGAAGAGGAGAAAAGAAAGAATTATTCACAAATAATCAGCACAGATCTTTTTAGTTGCACACACTGGGAGGAGGATAAATCACACGTACTGAAAGTGTGTGTAACATGTGTGTGTCCTGTCTAACGACGCACCTCCAGTTTTTTTAATAACGATACTGATACCGATACTGATACTTTAAATACCCAATATCAACCAATACCAGAGCAGAGAATGAAAACAGCATTCATTTCCTTCCAAAATTCACAACTGATCCAAATGTGTTATGCATCTGTTTTTAACTTTCGAGTTTCTACAGAACAAAACAAAAAAAAAATTAAAAAAAAATACAAAAACTACTATTAACTACTAAACACGTGCTTTTCTTTAAAATTTTCTTTAACATTACCTATTATTTTGTACGATCGTAAACAATAAACCTTTGTGCCTTCGTTAATGTTTGTATTAGTTTGCACGACCATAAACAAAAACAAAATATCCTTAAATTTTTTCATTCTCATTGTGGTTTATTTCGCATGATCATAAACGATAAACTTTTGTGAGTCAGTTCTGGTTTAGACCTGGTTTACAGTCGTCCCTCGCTCTATCGCGGTTCACCTTTCGCGGTCTCGCTGTTTTGCTGATTTTTTTTTTTGTGCTATTTTGCATTTGTTTTTACAGTGTATGAATGTGCGTTGCGTTCCTCCCGCTGTGTTCTGATTGGCTAACAGACTTTCTCCTGTGGTCACCTTCGAGCCCGTCCCGACAGTGAGTCCTGTTTTAGTCCTAGTTCAGTCCTGGTTTAGTCCTGGTTTAGTCCTAGTTCAGTCCTGGTTTAGTCCTGGTTTAGTCCTAGTTCAGTCCTGGTTTAGTCCTGGTTTAGTCCTAGTTCAGTCTTGGTTTAGTCCTGGTTTAGTCCTAGTTCAGTCCTGGTTTAGTCCTGGTTTAGTCCTAGTTCAGTCCTGGTTTAGTCCTGGTTTAGTCCTGGTTTAGTCCTGGTTCAGTCCTGGTTTAGTCCATATACGGCGCAAAAGTTCAGCATCTTCGCAGTTATTTTGGTGAGAGTAACTTAAAGTGCTGCAATAGTAATGTAATGTTTTACATTTTAAATACAGTAATATTGTAATGTAACGAATGACTTTGAAATGACAGTAATAAGTCATAAATAACACATTACAGTTTTAAAGTCACTTGCCCAACAGTGACTATAGAAACCTTTGAAAAAGAGTATTGGGTGTTGTGTTTTGGAAAATACGAAGCTCTGAAATTGATAAATTGTGAATTGAGTTTTCTTAGTTTTAATTTATATTTTGTCTCTTATTTGTACAGTGAGAGGAGTTGTGAATGTAAACTTGTTGTTCATGTGTTTGGTGCCTTTGTTTCAGCTTGAACCTTTCCAGTCATGACACATGTAGTCGTGGTTTATATTTTGTTTTGTTTTGTAATGCTGCAAATGATCCAAAAAAAAAAAAAAAAGAACTCACCTACAAAGTGCAGCAGCTGAAAGGCAGTGAGCCAGGCCTCGGGGATGGCAGCAGCTTCAGACAGAGAGAGGTTTGGAGGAACAGGCAGGAGCAGATCTTCAGGAACCTTCACAAACTCAGCGTAACCTCCTCCACCGAGAAGAGCCATCACCCGCTCTGACGGCTACAAGTGCACACACAGCATTTCATTTCATTAAAACATCATCAGATTTAAGATTTTACTCCAAATCCTGTTGAGTTTTGTCATGTTTTTTTTTTTTGGTTTTTTTGGCAACCTTAATGTTAACAAGGACCAAAACTTGTCTAAATTACACAAAAGTTACGCACTTTAAACCTGGACTTCACCCCAGGTCCAATCGCCTCCACGGTCCCAGAAACCTCCAGACCCAAGATCTCACTCTCACCGGGGGGAGGAGGGTACCGCCCACGCCTCTGAGGACCAAAGAAGATAATAAAGAGAAAGAAGAAGAAGAATCCTCATCTAACTAAATCCATGTGTCATTCATTCATTTGTTTTTCAAAATAAAACCAAAAATAAGAAAATGAAAAAACATTCTTCATTATTTGTCTCCAAAACTGAAATGAAAAAAACAAAAACAGATAACAATTTGTTTTTTAAGTTTTCGATTTTGTGTTTAAATGAAAAATGGAAAAAGTAGATAACGGACTGAACCAGGACTGAACAAGGACTAAACCAGTCCCAGTCCCAGTCCCGTTCTGGTCCCGTTCTGATCCCGGACTGGTCCCGGTCGCCGTCCCGGTCTGGTCCTGGTCTCAGTTCTGGTCTGATTCCAGTCTGGTTCCAGTCTCAGTTCTGGTCTCAGTCCTGATCTTGTCCCGATCTGATCCCGGTCTCAGTCCCGGTCTCAGTCTGGGTTTCAGTCCCGGTCTCAGTCCCAGTCTCAGTCCTGGTCTGGTCCCCATGTGGTCCCGGTCTCAGTCCCGGTCTCAATCCTAAACCAAGACTGAACCAGGAGTGTCGAGATGGGCCCAAAGGTGCGCGGTAGACTGTCAGGTGATCAGGACTGAGACCGGGACCAGACCGGGACCAAACAAGGACCAGACCAGGACTAGGACTGGGACTGAGATCGCTTTAATCCTGGTTCAGTCCTGGTTCAGTTAGTTTTTTCATTTGACAAATTAGCAAATAAAGTGTCTTGCCCACGGGCATAATGATAGTGTCCATTACCTCGGCTGCAGTAGTGCCTAACCTTACCAGTGTGGAGTGAATGAATCATGCAGGAAATTATAAAAAGAAACACTGAATGTCCAAAAAAAAGTCAGTCTTTATTATAATTCTATGCATTTGTAATGAATTAAATTCATGTATTTTCACAGTGTCTCTCACCTGCAGGAGGTCGGCTCTGTTCAGGGCCGTGGAGTGGACTCGGACCAGGACTTCCCCAGGTCCAGGCTCGGGTCTGGGGATGGTCCGGATCTGCAGAGTCTCTGGTCCTCCTGGTTCATCTACCCACACAGCGCGCATCATGTTCACCGCACGAGACTGAAGAAATATACAAGTACACGTCTAAATAATACATATATATATATATATATATACATAACCAAGTGGTGGGCCTAGTGTACAGAAACATGTGTGCAGAATACAGGCTGGAGACCCCAGGATCAAGGTGGGAAACACCTCCAAAGGTTGTGGAGAATGACCGAGCCAAGATCCTGTGGGACTTCCAGATACAGACTGACAGAATGGTGATGGCGAACCAACCAGACATAGTGGTGGTGGATAAGAAACAGAGCAGAGCCGTGGTGGTTGACATCGCAATACCAAGCGATGGTAATATCAGGAAAAAGGAACACGAGAAGCTAGAGAAATACCAGGGGCTCAAGGAAGAGCTGGAGAGAGCCTGGAAAGTAAAGGCATCAGTGGTGCCTGTGGTGATCGGACACTCGGGGCTGTAACCCCCAAACTGGAAGAGTGGCTACAACAGATACCGGGAAAAACAACGGACATCTCAGTCCAGAAAAGTGCAGTACTGGGGACAGCAAAGATACTGCGCAGAACTCTCAAGCTCCCAGGCCTCTGGTAGACGACCCGAGCTCAATGAGGGTGAGAGACCAACCACCGTGGAAGGTGAGAAACACATTTTTTTTTTTTTTTTTTTTTTATATAGTCAGACTGTGGGCACAGTCCTGTTTGGGTCTGGGTTTAATCACAGGTTGGACAAGTCCTGATGTGGACTTGGTTTGGTTCAGTTAGAGACCAGGTTAAGTCTGGATTTAGTCCAATTTTAGTCCCAACTTTAGTCCAGGTTTAGTCCACTTTTATTGCAGGCGTGGCCATGGTTTAGTCCAGTTTTAGTCCACTTTATGTTTAAAATTTTGTCCAGTTTTAGTCCAGGTTTAGTCCCAAATTCAGTCCCAGGTTAGTTCTGGTTTAGTCCAGGTTTAGTCCCAGTTTAGTCCTGATTTTGATGTAGTGTGTGTTCAAATGTAATTAGATAAATGATAAGTGACAATCCCAGTTTGGTCCTGAAGTGGACCTGGCTTAGTCCAAGTTTAGTCCAGGTTTATTTAAACTAGTAATAGTTAAATAGACTTACTGTGCTGTAGGTTTTTCCAAGTAGAAATGTCCCAGTCTTTAAGAAGTGGTGAATCCGACTCAGCTGCTGTTTTTAAAACAGTAATCACCATATAACATGAGTTACATTTATATAAGTCAAAGTATGGAGAAACATGATGAAATATCTTTAGTCATGTTTCATATTTCTATTTTGGGGGTGAATTTAGTTTAGCTCAGACTGTATCCATGAAAAAACAACAAAAACAAAACAAAACAAAAACTATATATATAGACTGAATGGGGAAAAAATAGAATACTTTTAGAATCTTGGTTTTCAATTTTAATTTAAGTTGAATTAATTTATTATTAATCTATTTTATAGCCATGTCTAACTCTGTATTTGTGGTAATTAAATAAAATAGAATAAAACCCCAAAACAAAACAAACGCCTTACCATGGTGCCCCTCTTCATTAATAAGTCTCACTAAACAGAATAACTCGAGCTGCTGTGGTTCCTTCACAACAGCAGGGGGCGTGGTTGTCAAACTAAAACCAAAACTACTTTTACGGAAGCGCGACCGCGACAACACATTAAACTGGTACATTTCGACATTTAATTACAGAAATGAAAGGGGCATTGAGTAATAATGGAAAGCAATATATACATTTGTGTTGCAAATGTTAAGTCCACTGTTACGTTACAGTTACGCAACCTACAATAGATGACGTGCCAGACGTCATTTAACTCATAGAAAAGATTCAACTGTACTTTCAAAATGACAAAAGTGCAGTAGTTATGGCAGCAAATTCATCTTAAGAGTGTAGGGATAGAGCTGAGAAAGCACGTTGTTTGCACGTGTTTAGTTGCTACAAAATAAACTTAAAAAAGGATCGTGCACTGGTGCGTTCACGTGTCCAAAACTGCACTCACCAACTGTAGATTTGCGCAGTCCCGGGTGTTTTCTAAGAATGCACGACTGGGAAGAAGTGACGTTTCACCATCGATGTTTGTTCATAGAAGTGTTGAGAGTAAAGAAAAGCCCCGCACTGTGCCTCACTGTGTTTTAAAGGCACAGTGCACGTTTATAACACACATGCTTTTTATTGGAGCTTGGAACGTTGTGTCCCGTGTTCACTGTCCCGCCTCACGCACTAAGGAGCTGGTTAGACTTTACCTACTTTTCTGTATAAGTAAGTGATTAAAAGAGTTGGTGATCTGTATTTTTAGGTAAAATGTCACTTATTAGACATAATAAATCAGTATTTCCCAAACCTTTTTTTGTGGGGATCCATAATTTAAAAGTCATAAACATTCCCCTGATCCCGTCACATCTCAGAAGCTCAGCAAGACCTGGCCTGGTTAGGACTTGGATGGAGACACTGAGAAAATCAGGTGTCACAGTGAAGCGCCAGTGGAAAAAAACTGTTGTTGTGTCCTTAGGCAAGACACTTCACCCACACTGCCTAGGATGAAAGTGGTGTGTGTGTGTGCGTGTGTGTGTGTGCGTGCGTGTGTGTGTGTGGGTGTGTGTGGGTGTCCTGGATCTGGTTTAGTCCTGGTTCGGTCCAGAGGCGCAAATGAAGAAAATTGATGTTTTTTCGTTTTCTTATTTTTGGTTTTATATTGAAAAACGAATGAAGGAATGATAGAGGGACTGAGGTTCTTCTTCTGCGGCATTTTTCACTTTGACTTTGACTTTATTACAACTTCATTCTCGTAATATTATAACTTTATTCCTATAAAATTATGACTTTTTCTGGCTTCGACTTTATTCTCGTAATATTACGACTTTAATGTCGAAATGTTACAACTTTATTCTCATAGCGCCAGCATTTTATTTATTTTTTAAATCTGACCCTTTTACTCTGTCGTAAAAATGTCAAATGTGTCCCATAAAAAAAGTTTCCTTCCTTTAAACAAGCAACAAAACTGTAGCTGTAACAAAATAATTTTGTAAAATAAACCAAAAAATACTCTTGGTAATAAATCGATACAGGAGCCCACGATATCGATACTGTATCATCACATTGTAAAACACTTGTCTTGTTTGCTTATTATTATTATAAATGTTTTCTACTCAAAGTATGCAGTGTTGTGGAGTAACAGATTACATGTACCGGAGATACGTAATCAGAGTACAAATTATGAGTAACTGTATTCAGTTACAGTTACTGTTTCAATGAGTGGTTATTGGATTACAGTTACTTTGTTAAAATAGGTGGATTACACGGCGGTATTTTATATTACATATCCCCCTTTTTCTTTTTCTTTTTTTTTTCTGTATTTCCACTCATTGCCGCACACTAAACCAGGTCTAAAACCAGGTCTAAAACCAGGTCTAAAACCAGGACTAAAACCAGGACTAAAACCAGGACTAAAACCAGGACTAAACCAGGATTTAACAGGACTAAACCATGCCGCGTGGACCGTGTCTCCTCCTCTTCTGTCAATAATATTTTTTAATACAGTTACGGAAAGTCTGAGCTTTTTATTGTCTTTAAGAAGATAAAACTTCTTATGCGAAAATATCTGAGTCTTTGCTTCTCTACAGCAAATCAAGTAATCCAAAGTATTCAGATTACGTTACTCACTTTAAGTAACTAAATGGATTCCGTTACAAAGTACATTTTGGGGTATGTAATCTGTAATCTGTAGGGGAATACATTTTAAAAGTCACCTTCCCAACACTGATGACTGAAAGTTTTTTTTATCTGCACTTTTCTTTTATTATGACTTTTGATTGTGATTTGAATGTCTTTCATATTTTGTAAAACACTTGTCTTGTTTGTTTCTTATTATTGTGGGGTCAGTAGTATTAAGCAGGCACAGTAATGAGAGTGAATTAGAAAGCACCACCCACCTCATTTTATTTTGGATTATTTTATACCAAATTGGTATAAAGGAAATTGTATTTTTTTATATATTTTTATGTACACAAGAAACAGATATGATTCTACACAGGAGATATGCTGGGGATGCACGCAGGCAGGGGAAGGCAACTCGGGGGGGCCTCGCAGGTCCTCATTGTAAAATGTGCCTGGACGTGAACAGCGTGATCATAAATGTGTCTCTTGTGTTTCAGTGCATACGGCATTAAATGGAAGTAAATATACACTCTCTGAAGCCTCTTTATCCCACCACAAGTGCTACATTATTAGAAATGTTTTCTACTCAAAGTATGTTTCTAATGATCAACCTACATACACTATGGTTAGAAAGAAAGTCAGTTCATCAGAATATACCAAGCCCTAATGATTCAATAGAACACATGACACAAAACCTTTTCATTTGTATTTTTTTTGATTATTTATTTTTAATGCATGCTGAAGACGAGGCAGAGGACCAATAAAGAAAGACGTTTTCCTCTAGAAGCTCGTTCAAATCAATTAAAAACTGTACACGAAAAAGCACAAACTGGAGCAATCAATCAATAAATCAATAAAGTGGATGAAAAACAGTCAAGTGTTTTTTCCAAATCAGGTTTGGAGGCAGGAGGTAGGATTTAGAAGGTAGGGTTTGACCTTCTCCATTGTCTCTTTCTTCTGCTCCTTGGAGGTCTGTGGCTAGTGAGGACGTTCTCCAGCCTTTCGGTCTTTTTTTCAGGAGGCTGGTTAGTAGCCTGCTGTCTGTGGACCTCCCTTTTCTGCTTCTTAGGTTCTGGCTCTCTGTCCTTGATCTCAGTGAGGATCTCTGTGGAGCTGTTTGACTCTTTCTCCTCACAGATAACCTCCTCCATAACCTTCTTCGGGGTATGGAGTTCTTTCTGGTTCTTGGACAGTTCCATCTCCAGTCGAGCACGTTTCTTGTTCATTTGACTACTTATGTCCTCTACATCTTTTTCAGACCTCATTCTAGCCTTTTGCACAGACCTTTTGAAGTCGTCTCTCACATGTTCGACCTCTTCCTGGTGCGTTGTGCTTTGTTCTGCTAATATATTCTTTGCTGCAGACAGTTCTTTCTCCAGTTTTCTGTTTTTCTCTTCTTTCAGGTCCAGCTCACATTGAAACTGGCTCCTCTGCTCCTCCGTGCTCTGTTCTAGAGTCACTATTGCCTCTTTCATAGACTGGAAATCTTCCACCATGGCAGGTTTTGTGATCTGCTCTTTTTCAATCACGTCCTGCAGGTGGCGTATGATGTTGTCCTTTTCTCTCAGAGCCTTTTCCATTTCTGCGCTTCTCTCTCTCTCTCCTCTTCAAGCGCCCGCTGACCCATCTCTTCACTACGCCTCAGAATCATCTCTGTCTGATGCAGTTCATCTTCTAAACTGGCAATCTTCTCTTGCAGGCACTTGTTTCTAGCTTCAGTTTCCCTCAACTGCCTTTTGCTCTCTTCACACTCTCCAATCTGACGTTTGTTGATCTGGATTTGGACCTGAAGTTTGTTGTCGAAATCCTCTAGTCCCATTTCCATGAATTCTGTTACCACTCTCCAAATCCTTTCGTTTTCATCCTCGTTTTGAAGTCTGGAGACCACTTCTTCCAGGTCGTCTATTTTTTTACCGTCCTCCACCGTAATCTTATTAGCCTCAGTTAACGGTGATGAAGACCTCATCCCCTCCTCCATTTCCATACACTTCACATTCAACTCCCAATTCTCTTTATCAAGTCTGGAGACCTCCTTTTGCAGTTGTTGGCTTCTCTGACTCTCCACCCTCAACTTATCCTGCAGCACATTGGTCATTTGTTTGTGCTCCTGGATTTGTTTCTCTTTTTCAACCAAAGCATTTTGTTGAGTTTGGTTGATTTTCTCTAGTTCTGCCTCTAGATGAACAGTTCTCTGGTCTGTCTCCTCCTGGATGTTTTTGGAGGTGATGTTGGACTCATGCAGAGCCCTTTCCACAGTGGCTCGCTCCGCTCTCTCCTTCTCGATCTCATTTTGGAGAGCGTGGATGGTCTCCTCAGCTGTACTGAGCCGACCTCTCAGGTCTTTCACCAGGCTGCTGCTTGTCCTGAAAAGTTTGACCATCTTGGGAGCTTTGCTAAAATGCTGCTTCTCTTGACAAGTTCAAGTGATTTCTGAGCTCTGGATGGCAGCTACCATACAGACTTTGATCAGTTATGTAATAAAGTCATGTTTTGGAACTGTGACCATAGAAACCATAGGTCACCATAGAAACTCAGAATTATCAAGTGATGACATCAAAGCTTTAGGATTCAAACACAAAAATAAACAACCCCTAACAATACACAATAAATAAATCAATGCTTTTGGAAAGAAAATCCTATTGAAATTTGATCCATTTATTTATGTATTTAATCAGTACAACTTTATAATAACTGTACTTAGTGCTACAAAAGAAAAAAAAAAAATCATAATGAAAAATGAGATCATGATTCAAGTTTAGTAAAGGCCCTACCTAAAATGATGTCTATATTTGTATTATTATTAAATGTTCTTCTTTGATTATGATTGTAATATTGTATATATGTGCTGTCTGCAACTCATTTCAATGGTAAATGGTCCCATTTTCTACAACGCTCTTCTACCTTTAAGGCCCTCAAAGCACTTTACATCAAGGAACCACTCACCCATTCACACACACATTCAAATACAAGGGCACGCCAA